AAAATATAAAATATGTAATCAATATAACTTGTCTCTAATAAAACATCAAACTCTGACCCCCATCTGATGTCATTCCCTCGCCGTAAATGCTAGTGCTCCCAGGTTTTTTTCCGGCAACCTCAATGCGCACGCATCATGAATGTTTACTAACTGGTAATTCATCTAAAGGTGAATGGAAACTAGCTAGTGTTGGCACAACCAAGAGAAATTCATCAAGCCAAGCCCCCTATGAAAAAAAACACATTTTCACATATCAGTAACAAACTCACACTAGTCTGTTCAGGACACGCACAATTAATCATGAGTTCTGTCACATGGTTGTGCAGTCCGTAGCTCTGCTGAGGAACAAGGCAGAGGAGAAGAGGAAGAAAGGATGTGTTTCTAGTCCTGTGACTCCCCTCCTCCAGTCTTTTCCCCCACGTGTGTGTGTGTGGAGGAAATGTGAGCCATGCTGCTTTTATCAGCCTCATTGTTTGTGTTCCTCAGGGACGGCGCTTCCTGATGGCAGCCAGAACCCTCCACATGTTCCCATTCTGATGTCCTTACATACACCACCATGCTGAAAAGCTTAAGAAATGTCTTGTATTCCTCCTGTTTTTTTCCTCACTTTTCCTTTCAACTTGGCCTACATATAGAGGAAGAAGGGGGTGGGTGAGATCGTGAAAGCGTGGAGTGATAGAATAAGAGCACGGTATATGGAGAAAGAGAGAGAGTGAGTCAGTGCAGTATTCCTTTTATGACTCGTCCATCCATGCAGGATGTATAAACAGGAACCGGACGGAAAAAAGTCCAACTGATGGATGTGAACTACCGCCACTGTTAGTATCACAGACATTTTTATTTTCCTTTAAGAGAAAATAAACTAAAATATGAAAAGCTCTCTTGAAGGGATGCGAACAATGGGAGTATCGGGTTGCACTTGAGGTCTTTGTACTGGAGTTGTCAAACCAGCTCAAAGCCTAAAGGCCGTATAACTCACAGGATGATTGTGACATGGTTGTTAGTCAGACTCGGTCCTCACAGATGTCTCCGTCCACCTGCTGGTAATGGGATGTTTACTATATGGCTTGGCACAGAAGCAGCGATCTTGAGTAAACAGTCAGGAAAACTGTGTGTGAGAGTGAATGGAGTGGGAGTGAGGAGTTATTTGGGATCAGACGATAGGAGTGTGCAGTGGGGTTGCACGGTTTACCAGTACTATATGGTAGTATTGTGATATGGCTCCAAAATACTGGCACTGCCACTTAGGCTTGGGTGGGAATATGGTATACTGCGGTATCTAAAAATAGCAACGGTATCAGTTTCAATACCATTATACATCATAAAAAAACAATGCACTTATATATAAGACAAGGATTGAATATTAAATATAATTTAATTAATGCGTGGTTGTCAACATGGGACAGCGTGGAGGAGAAAGAGAGAGGTAGGGAAAGATGAATACAATTACTGCAGTTTGACAGTATTTCAGGTTTCGACTAAACAAGAAGGAAGAGGCAGTAAATACAGATGAAACAATTTGCAAATTGTACAACAAAAAGGGTTAAAAAAGGACAGTGTTTATCAGAAAACCTGTGCTGATGCAGTGACATATTACTTGGCAAACAAAATAATCTCTTTCCACTCAGTAGAAAAAAAGTCAAATTTGTTTAATTTTTGTTTACGTTTCTGCGCGAATACTGTTCTGGGGTGCGTTTCCCAAAACCATCGTTAGCCAACTAAGTTTGCAAGTTCTGTTGTTTCAAACATAGTTCATTAATATGCTGTTTTCAAAATCCATCGCTCAAATGAACATTAGCAAACTGCATCGCAAACTTGAGCACTTGAAACTACATCTCAGGAGCTGTAGTTACAAGCATAGTTCCTGGCTGTGTTCTATTCCCACTTATCCCCCCTATGCCCTATTCATTTAGAACATTCTAACATTCAGAGTAGAGCTGCATGATTCTGGCTAAAATGAGAATCACAGTTTTTTTGCCTAAATAAAGATTGTGATTTTCTCAGGATTCTGTAGATCACAGGTGTCAAACTCAGTTCCAAAAGAGTCGCAGCTCTGCACAGTTTAGTTCCAACCCAAATTAAACACACCTGATCAAACTAATTATTTAATTAATTATTAATTATTTACCACTTTATTAGCTGTTATTCACAGCATATGCAGGTTCTGTTCACTAAAGTAGACGCGCGCGCGTCTATCATTGGGTAGGGGGTACACCCAACTCTGTGATAACAGCTCACGGTCAGCAGCTCACATCACGTGTGTTTTTCCGGCCACGAATACAGCATTGTACAGCAGCATGAAGACAGAAATAACATTTTTAGGTGAATTATACCTTATAAATACAGAATGTGACTCTTTAACATCATTTGGAGGTGTCCATGTCACTGAGCAATGTATGTGAAACAATGAAAAGACTCGTGCAGCCGCCTTTTCTTCTCTCCTGAACTTGAAAAAATGAGTAAATAGACATTGCAAGCAAATTGCGCGATTTGAGCATTAAGTGATTTCCAATGACTATCTATTGTGTTGCACAGATGATGACATATTTATGCTCAACTTCGATTATCGAATCAAAAAATAGAATCGTCGATGCTGCCAAGCCCCCATGTCACGTTAGCTTGGCTTGCCAAGCGGGAAAAAAACATGCTTGTTGAAGTGCTTGTTAAACTGCAGACGCAGGAGACCCGTCGACAGAGCTTAAACCCTCTCCTCTTTCAATGAAGTCGCAGGTGTGGAAGTATTTTGGATTTCCAGTTAATTATGTTGACAACGTTCGTGTTGTCAACAAAAAAAAACACAGTTTGCAAGCTCTGCTATGTACGTATTACGGTTGGAATGATAGACGATGGGCGCATCGCGATCCTCCGCCCCACACCCGTTGCAAATCCGCTCACGAAAAATACACACTCAGGCCCTGTTTACACTGTCTTTGTTTTTAAATGGCATTTTAGAACGACAACGATCTACATCCACACTGGGGTGTAGCATTTCTGAGCAGCCCTCCTTCCTCACTACCGCTAAAAACGCACATCACGTGACCACACACACTCATTCACACACAGACACAGATTGTCATGTGCTCGAGACAGCGGGTCAAGGCAGTCAGCGGGTAAGTAGACTGCTTCCATCTTTTACTTTCACACAAGTACTTAGTCATTCTAGCGAACGCCTCAGATACTGTTGGCTGGTTCCTGTTGGTTGTGCGTCTTTTTTACCGACGCCATTATAACGACACAGATCACTGCCTATTCACGAGTCCCGCAGAAAAAAGTGATTGACAGGTGGTAATTATGTGTGTAACTTACCTTTATTCATTTACTGTATGATTTGTTTATGGGTAAAACAAAGACCATGCAAGTCAGGTAGTTTAAACGGTAGGCTACAAATAATTAATTCGTTATTAATTAATGAATTATTCATAATCGAAAATCAAATCGAATCGTGACTTTAGAATCGAAAATGTAATCGAATCGAGGATTTGTTGGATTGTGACACCCTTAATGACAATAATAACAAAATTTATGAGCCATAGTTTGATTTGTGATTAGATTAGTACTGATTTACTGGTGTTTTTGAGACATCTAGATGCAAGATGGCAAGATTTTTCTGAGCATTTGTGTTTGGTTTTGGTTTTTCAGTTTTATTTTGTCGTACTTTTGATGCGCTGCAGTAGTACTGTTGAATGAATGAGTGCATGTTCGACAGTAGGTGTTAAATGTTGATAGCAACTGTGATTTGGTACAGTGGAGCAACGTAAAAATACCTTTTTGTTTACCTTCTCACAAGAAGTCTCACATTTAACCACTTTAGTTGTACACTACAGGCGAGGCAGTGGCGCAGTAGGTAGTGCTGTCGCCTCACAGCAAGAAGGTCGCTGGGTCGCAGGTTCGAACCTTGGCTCAGTTGGCGTTTCTGTGTGGAGTTTGCATGTTCTCCCTGCCTTCGCGTGGGTTTCCTCCGGGTGCTCCAGTTTCCCCCACAGTCCAAAGACATGCGGTACAGGTGAATTGGGTAGGCTAAATTGTCCGTACTGTATGAGTGTGTGTGTGAATGTGTGTGTGGATGTTTCCCAGAGATGGGTTGCGGCTGGAAGGGCATCCGCTGCGTAAAAAACTTGCTGGATAAGTTGGTGGTTCATTACACTGTGGTGACCCCGGATTAATAAAGGGACTAAGCCGACAAGACAATGAATGAATGAGTTTTACACTACATGCATTTTTACACTTTGGACTACCTCACTAACAAGTTTAAGTTGGACATGCTGAAAACCCTTCATGGGCTGTTTACACCTGTATTTAGCACTGTTCCTTTGTCATTGGATTGACAAGCAAGCTTTTTTTCCAAAAATGGAGCTATGGATTGAAGTTTAGGCAGGATATTTATAGTACTTTTAGAATGATCTGATAGGCTAGATAATGATTAGCAATAAGGATCAGTGGAGTCGATCATATCACATGCTCCTCTCGAAATTAGTTTGTGAAACATCCCTAAATGAGGAGTTATTCATGTTTAACCAGCTTAAAGGATGCCTGTACTGTGTAAACAAGAATTCATGCCTTAATAATACTACTTCTATTTAATGCGATTATGTGTTGTTTATATACTTTTATAATATTTCTTTAAATTTACTTTCATTAAATATTTGATCATTTCTAGATTTAGTAACGCTTGTTGGTAGCCAAGTTCTGTGCGTTTGTATTTTACTGCAAATTTTTACAAGAGGGGCTTAAATAAAAACAGACACACAATCCAAACTACTCAGCATCATTGCTGAAGTATGAGATAATTCACTTTGTGTGTGTGTATGTGTGTGTGTGTGTGAGAGAGAGTGAATGAGATTGAATTCTGCTGCTTGAGTGGGAATTGTGCGCTGCATGTGTGTAAGGAGAGTTTCTATTTTTGTCATGTCACCATGACCTAGTATTTACAGTTGATTTCACCCTGCTGTGAATGTGCTTTCGTTAATCTCTCTCTCTCTGTCTCTCTCTCTCAATAACAGATGACGGAAGGGCGGAGATGTCAGGTCCATCTCCTGGATGACAGGAAACTGGAGCTCCTGGTACAGGTAAGGAAACACTTAATACTGATAATGCTGCAACGTGACCTAATTGTGATGATAGTGGTTTTAAAGTGTTTTTGGGTATTAGACTCGATTCACCAGCACAGTCCAGTATTAGGCTACTATGGACGGGAGAAAAAAATGTTTGATCGATGCATTGTGATTCTTTCCCTACTGAATCTAACTCTGTTCTCAAAAGTTGAGAATCGATCCTGTTTTCAAATAAGATTGTAACGGTGCAGACCAGCACGTGGTATAAACAGAAAAATAATAAGCTTTGACAGGCACATGTACAGTTGAAGTCAGATTTATTAGCTCTTCTGAATTATTAGCTCCCCTGTACTGTACATTTTTCCCCAAAATTCTGTTTAATGGAAAGAACAAATTTTCAACACATTTCTGAACATAATAGTATTAATCACTCATTTCTAATAACTGATTTATTTTATCTTTCCCATGATGACAGCACATAATATTTTACTAGATATTTTCAAGATACTAGTATTCAGTTTCAAGTTACATTTAAAGTCTTTACTTGGTTAATTAGGGTAACTAGGCAAGTAAGGGTAATTAGCAAGTCATTGTATAATGATGGTGGTTAGTTCTGTAGACAATCGAAAAATATTGCTTAAGGAGACTAATTCCAGTAAAAATAATTCTATGGTAATTTTTTTTTTTTTCTAAGTGTCTACCGAACATTTTGATGTATAAAAAAATAACTAAACTCTTACGTTCAAATACGTTCAAATCTTTTGCTGCCAAAGCAACTGCAGTATTTACTGTGGAAAACTTTTAACAAAAAATCCATCAGGGTGTTGTCTCTAGAAATTCATTTAAAAAGTAGTGCCCAGATGTGGGAACTAAATCAATTTCTAGCCACTTTTTCTAGGTTCACCTTATTACCTATAAGTGTGAACCATTAAATTTTGAAGCATACAGTTGAAGTCAGAATTATTAGCCCTCCTGTGAATTTTTTATTCTTTTTAAAATATTTCCCCAATCATGTTTAACAGAGCAAGGACATTTCAAAGTATGTCTGATAATATTTTTTCCTCTGAAGAAAGCCTTATTTGTTTTATTTCGGCTAGAATAAAAGCATTTGAAAAAAAAAAAAAATTTATTATTAGCCCTTTAAGCAATATTTGTTTTTGATTGTCTACAGCAGTGGTCCTCAACCACCTGGCTGCAGACTGGTACTGGACCGTGGATCAATTGTAACAGCGCCGCACAAGAAATTATTTATTATTTTGTTTTATTTATTATCTGAGTCTGAACAATGTTTTATTTTGAAATATCTTTATTTTGAAAAATGACTGTATTCTTTTACTTACGTCTCGGTCACCTGAGCGCCAAAAATTAACCCACAAGCAGCAAAATGAGTTGGAAACAGACGTCTTTGGAAAGTTTCTTTGCTAAGGCGAAAAGGCCCAGTGAAGAACACAGGAACTTCAATAGATCTGCAAGCTATTAGTCAACAAATCAGGTGAATCCACCATGTCTGTGCAAGAAGATCAACTGCTTCAGATCGTACATGACAGCAGCCTTTTAGAGGCCCTTTGCAAGTTTGTTATTTCCAATTGAGGTGTGCGGCTTGCAGACACACCCAGTCGAATGAATCCTGCGAGCGCACCCCGAGTGTCGTGACAAGAACTGACCCATCAGCTTCATATTTTGTATGGAATATACACATTTTGGTAGACTAATTATCCCAGACAAACACAGAACACCCAAACACTGTGCTTTTTCATTTTCTCTATAAATAAAGCTTGTATCAGAGTGACAGCAATGTTTTGTCAGCTTTTGTCATCTTCTGAGAAAACGGTTGATGGTCACCTAGCAACTAACGAATCACCGCCTCCATCCCCCAGTCTGCGGGCTAGCATTGATCCATCCACAGTGATAAAAAGATTGGGGACCACTGGTCTGCAGAACAAACCACTGTAATACAATAACTTGCCTAATTACCCTAACTTGCCTAGTTAACCTAGTTAAGCCTATAAATGTCACTTCAGGATGAATACTAGTGTCATAAAAAAAACATCTAGTAAAATATTCTGTACTGTCATCATGGCGAAAATAAAATAAATCAGTTATTAGAAATGAGTTATTAAAACTATTATGATTAGAAATGTGTTGAAAAATAATTAATAATTCTAATAAAAGGCTAATAAATAATTCAGGAGGTCTAAAAGTTCTGATTTCAACTATATATTTATGTAAGTATAACTATATTGATGTATATAGCTATATTGAAGTGTAGTGTGAAGTATTAGTGGATGTTTTTGTGAAAGCCGTTTCAGATTTCCTCTCATTTCTCTGGGAAGGGAAATCCTCACTGTTCCTCAGAGACTTCATGAATGTCTTGTGGAAATAGGGGCTCTTCATCAGTTTGGGGTCATGTATGAGTTTGAGTGTTTACTTAGCGTGTAATACGACTCCTTTCTCGAATTTCATTGGCAAACAGAGCCTGTGATTAGCTTTGCTCTAACCTGACCGTAATCGTATGTGTGGCATATGTCCATCTCTCGAATGTCCTTTAAACATTAGTATCAGTAATTGTCAATCTGGCAGGTTGAGGTTCCCATAACAACCCAAACCAGCAGCCTGTCAAATCAGCCGTCAGCGGTCATGCATAAACACTCCATAAATCCTCCTATCAGAACGCAAACATCTTCTTTCGGGATGAGTTTAGTTTCCATAACAACCCTGTCTGAGTCCCATGCCCCATCAGACCTCAATATAAACAGAAACGTCTTCTCTGGACGGCTCGGTTTCCTCAACACTCACTCTCATATGAACTTTCTCAGGAAATCCCTAATCATGAAGTAAACACTGCTAGATTCGTGAAGTAGAACGTTGTGTTATTGTTTTCTCTTCTGTCCTGTGCTGTTATGTTTTATTCCTTTTCTATTTGTTTATATGTATTTTAGTTTTTATTAAAGTTTATTTTATTCTGTTTGATTCTGTTTATATAATTTTCTGAAATGTTTTAAATATTTAGATTTAGCTTTTATTTAATATTTTCATTTTCCATTTGTAATTTGAAGTTCTTTTGTCAGTTATTGTATAATTTTTTGTTTCTGTGTGTTTATTTTAAATACCTTTATTATATATTTGTTTGATTAAATTTTGGTCTGTTTGTATGATTTTCTATTATTTATCAAGTATTTTGAATTAACTTTTTAATATTAAATTTTTTTTTAATTTTAAGTGCTTTTGTCACATATTAGTAGTAGACAAGTCTTTTATTAAGTTTTTGCAGAAAAACTTTTTAACAGAGCAACTCAAACATATACAAGAACAAAGTACATGAAACAAAAAAAGTAGAAGATACAAGGTGAAATAATAATAATAAATGAATAAGTAAATAAATAAATAAATAAATAGTAAAATTAATAGAGTTATGGGTGGGGGGGAGCTTACAAATCAAGTATTTGGAATAAATCTGTTCTCAAAATATGACAGAAATGGTCTCCAAACTTTGAATAATATTTTATTTTTATAATAGTTTGTTGTTGTGTTAGTCACTTTAAGTTAATACTATTGGGTTATTTTTTTGTGCTTTTATTTTAATTATTATTTTTTATTTCAGCGTATTTATTTAAAATGTATTTACTTTATTTCTGTTATAGTGTGCTGTTGTTTTAGTAACTTTAAGCTAACATTAGTAAGTCATTTTAAGTGTTTTTATTCTCAATATTATTTTTTATTTCAGCGTATTTATTTAAAATGTATTTATTTTATTTTTGTTATAGTTTGTTGCTGTTTTAGTCACTTTAAATGAACATTAGTGAGTTATTTTAAGTGCTTTTATCTTTATTATAATTGTTTATATTTCAGGGTATTTCATTAGGATGTACTTATTTTATTTTTGTTATTTTTAGAGTCGTTTCAAGTTTATAATAGTAAATTTGCATTTTATTTTTTATCTCTTATTTTATTTTAAATATAATATTTTTCTGGGCGAGGCGGTGGCGCACTAGCTTGTGCTGTCGCCTCTCAGCAAGAAGATTTCTGGTTTGAGCCTCGGCTGGGTCAGTTGGCATTTCTGTGTGTAGTTTGCATGTTCTCCCCGCGTTTGCGTGGGCTTCCTCCGGGTGCTTTGGTTTTCCCCACAAGTCCAAAGGCGTGGTACAGGTGAATTGGGTAAACTAAATTGTCCATAAAGTATGAATGTGAATGAGTGTTTCACAGTGATGGGTTGCGGCTGGAAGGGCATCCGCTGCGTAAAAACGTGCTGGATAAGTTGGCGGTTCATTCCGCTGTGGTGATTAATAAAGCCGGAAAGAAAATGAATAAATGAACGAATTATATTTTTCTTATAAATCATTTTGATTCGGTTTGGATCTATTGGTTCTGTTTTGTACTTATTCTATCAATTTTGTTTTGGCCTCTTCTGATTTCATTCTGTTTTTCATTTTGTTCTATTAATATCTTTATTATTTTATGCTTTATTGTATTCTTCTTGTCTTTTCTTTCCTGCTCTCTTTCTCTCATGCCTGTCAGGTGCGATTAGCTGACCTGATTCCGCTAGACTCCAATCCAGTTGAAACTCCATCATAGTTGAAGAATTGTAATTTCTCTGCCTCCTTCATATCTCATTTTCCACACATTCTCTTTCTCTCCTCTAAATGCTAGTCGAGTTGATTGCAGTTGCAGTTTCGGTCTGATAAACGTAGAAGGAGATGAGGTGAGAGAGTCTTTTGCAATCAGGTAAGAGGATGAGGGAGAGAAAACGAAGGGATTTTCAGTAGATAAAGAAATGGATGAGGTAGTTGCATGAGAAAAAGATATTAGGCAGCGTGTCTTGTATTTGCTCAATCTCTCACCAGTTTATGATTTATTGAGCTGTTGCAGAAATGCTTATTCTGTAATCTTTACATATGTCCTGCTTCAGTCCTGAGATATTTGTTCTTTTGGCATCGGCTAAAATTTTCAGCCTGTTCTTTCTGACTCCTCTTTTCTCTTCCTCCTTGAGGGTGGATGTTCTGGAGAAGGTTGAGTAG